CCCTGAATATCTCCTAACTCTCATATCAGCGTGTCCCAATGTCCCCTCGTCCCGTTTGCTTTGCGAAACGTTACACCATCTCGGCTCTCATCCAGGTCACTATCGTATCTTTCTGACTTGCTCTTGCCGCATGCGATATCATTACCACCTTTCGACATCGTCCTCCCCCAGACCTTGCACTCCTTGCTCGTCGACAGTATTGTCTGGATAACCGTCTTTTCTTTCTCTCACTTTCCATCCTCCTTATATCTCTCTCACACGTGTTCTTTTATTTTAATTTTTCCCTTCTATCTTTCATTGAATTGAGTGTGAGCTACACTGTCTCTATCTTGTTTTGGAGTGTACTGGTTACTATCGCTATTGATCTTAGCCCTGTCCATATCTCGTTTGCTCTTCCTTTTGCTATTTGGGGACTTTTGAGCTTCGCATTGATTGGCATGAAAGTTGAAATCTGTATATATATGTATAGTGTCTTCTATGTGAGTCATTCACACAGTCACACACATACACACACACACACACACACACACACACACACACACACACACACACACACACACACACACACACACACACACACACACACACACACACACACACACACACACACACACACACAATGTGCGTGCGTCACTGGCGCTTGCCGCGCTTTGGGGGCGGGTCGTGCCGCTGCGGGTTGCTCTGCTTCCGGCGCGATTTGGCGCCAACGTTGAACGTAAACACTTTGCTTGTTCCCGTCGTTGCCTGCATGCAGGGTAATCGTGATGAGCGTTGGAGGATGAGGAACGCAGATGGATAGGCGAGCACACAGCACCGGATGTGTTTTGAAATGGGCACCTCTGACATAAACACACAGACACACACACACACACAGACACAGACACAGACACACACAGACACACACGAAACATAGACACAGACACACACAGGCACCCCCCCCCCACACACAGACACGTTGCGGACCTTGGTGCGTGCGCACTTTGAAGTGCGGATCAAGTCAAGGTCCTGCGACGAGCGGCGGAGGAGAGAGTCCGACCGCGTCAGGGAGAAGCGCGTTGACACGGAGCCAGCGCGCGAGCGTGTACGCGATGTGGTGCGCGTGAATGACAGCTGCGAGTTGGACGAATCGTCAAAGATGTCGTCAAACAGCTGCAAGTGGCGACGACGGGGCGCGAGTGGAAAAAGACCGGTGAGAAACGCAATCGGGACACCCACATGCACGGGAAAAGGCGCGCAACAGCAGACATGGGCATGAGCGCAACAAACAGCAAACGCAACACCCACTTACTTACCCACACGCAACACTCACACCATCCCTCACACGTACCGACTGCTGGCTGCTCTCGACGCGGGCAACGGTCACGTGCTCAGCAAAGTCTGCGCGCTGCAGCAGCCTGTTCTCCTCCTCCTCGTCATACTCGCCATGCTCGTCATCACTCGCCGCGCGCCCGTCAACGCTGTCTTCGCCAGTGAGCGGACCGCGGTTGGATGACTGCTGGCGCACCAGCCCAAGCAGCGATGCTGTTGCTGCAGACGACGATGATGATGACGATGTGCGTGGCACGGGCTTGCTGCTGCTGTTGTTATTGTTGCTGCCGTCTGGCTGTGTTGTTGGCTGCGTGTCACCACCACATTGGGTGAGGTCACCATCAGCATCGTCGCAATCATCCACATCATCACCATCATCACCATGCTGCTGTTCCCTGCAGTGATCAAAGAGACCAAGCCGCTCTGCCTCTCTCGCCGCCGCCCGCGCCTCCTCCTGTGCATCCCCGACTCCAACCTCGCACTCCTCCTCATCACCATCACCCTCCATATCCAACATGTCATCATCATCGTCGTCGTCAGCTGCGGCGTCGTCAAGGAACCCGCGCGCACGTGCACTGCGCCCGCCCTGGCCAGACACCCACCGCTCACCATCACCATCACCATCATCATCGTCATCATCATCATCATCAGACGGATCAACGAGTTGCGTTGCATCAGCGCCATCACCAAACATGCTGTTGTTGCTGTCGTTGAGGCCGTGGCCGTGGTCGTCCTCGCCCTCCTCCGTTGGGTCTGGGCTGAATCTGTACTCCGCACTCCGACGCGACACCATCTCCTGCCTGGCATCGTCGTCGTTGTCGTCATTATTGATGTTGTTGGTGGTCTGTGCACGACCTCGCCCGCGAAGCCTGGTCGTGCCGGTGACGGCTGTGGTAGACGTGATGGTCTCATGCTGCGTTGCCTCGCGCTCTGTGCTCGCAGCCGTGCGGTCATCACACCCATCACCCACACACGATGATGACGATGATGTTGACGATGTTGACGACGCGTGGGGTTCATTGCGTGCTGCAC